GTTGTCATATGAGAGGCCCGACTTACTTTTCCGCCAAAGATTTGGGGAATTGGTCGCGTGCGCAAAGCATTGTGGGGATTTTAAGGACGGCGGAAGTCTTACACATTGCAGCCTCGAATTACCCCGCCAAACAAGGAACGCGGCCGTCGGTGGAATTTTCAGTATCGGCTGGGATTTGGAAAGTCCTGGTTCGGCGGCAACTCGTTACGTAGCACTTTGATATTGGCTTGAAGCAGTTTCCTCGAATTGAGAACGCCATGGTTCTGTTGTTACGATTGCAACCTAACACCAGAGCTAACTGTACTGGAGAGGTCTGTGGTGAAGAGCAGGAAATAAAAGGAAGTCACCTTTGTTGGTAACACTGGAGAGGAAGGAAGGGTTTGGCCCATAGTTTCAGAATAATGCTTGATTAGTTTGGGACATGTGGGCGTTTATTACGGCAGCAATTCTGCTGAGTTTCTGCCGGGAGCATTGTTTGAGCAGCGGCCATTAGCTTCCACCTCCAGCGTTTCTCTTTAACAGCTGAAATGAGGGCTACGTGAGGTGGTTAGATGCTGATCTGTTTTTTGGATTTTGAGGCAACCTTCATAGCATTGTTTTATATATTTGTATATATCTGAGACCCATATATATGCCTTTAAGATGAGCATGATCGGAGATCTTTAAGTTCGGGACAGATCTGGGCTGCTGCTCAGTCTTTGGTTGCTTGTTTTTTCAGGATTGGGGTATTAAGCCACAGCTGGTAGTTTTGCATGTCCGCAGAGAGGTCATGATATCGTCTGAACACCGCGGACAAGCTGACAGACGTATTCAGGTTGTGCTTTTTTCTTTTTGCAAACCCCCTCCCCTCCCCCTCCTCATGCAGCTGTTCTTACCTGCTGCTCATTTTAGAATTCGCAGTCCGTCCAGTGAACTCAGGCTAGCTTTTCATTTGTAAGTCGCCACAGGCTCGAGGGTGTTGTTTGTGTGTTGGTGTGTTGAGAAAACATGATGTACACCTTTTACGGCTTCAATACATGTTGTTAGGGGGACAGGTAGGGCACCTACAATAGCATGCTCTAATTAGCGTGAAAGGGGTTCATCATGATGTGGGAACCAGTGGCTTTGTGTTTTTTGTTTACTTAAAAAGACTTACAGAAAATGACACTTGGTGAGGCGTGTGTCCTTTAACCAGGAAAGACCTCATAAGATTTTGGAGCGATGCACATAGGAGGTCCATGTTAACACCTATCTTCAGTGTAATTTTGAGTATCAACAATGCAAGAGTAACGCTGTTTTTTAATACCAACGGTGCTTTTTAAGTGTCTCCCCTGGGTCTCCAGAGTGTGCGTCATCTTTTAGTGTCCCCTGAATCACCCTATTGTGTGGTGCTCAACTTTTTAGTGTCCGCCCCTGGTCTCCCAGCGTGTGGCGTCATCTTTTATGTCCGCCTGAATCACCTGACCTAATGGTGTGTGTCACTTTTTAGTGTCCCCGGTCTCCAGCTGTGGTGCGTTCATCTTAGTGTCCGCTTGGTCTCCAGCTGTGTGCGTCACCTTTAGTGTCCCTGGTCTCCCGTCTTGTGTGCTCCTCTTTAGTGCCCCTGGTCTCCGCTGTGCATCACTCTTTACGTGTCCTGGTTCCAGCTGTGTGCGTCACCTCCTTCGTAGTGTCCCCTGGTCCCAGCTGTGTGCGTCCTCTTTTAGTGTCCCCTGGTCTCCAGCTGTGTGCGTCACTCTTAGTGTCCGCCTGGTCCCCAGCTGTGTGCGTCACTCTTTTAGTGTCCCTGGTCTCCGTTGTTGTTTTGAGCTTCTGCATGCGTTTGGGTTCTGCAGCTTTTGTAAGACCTGCGCATGTCTCCTCAGTTGCTGATGTCCTCTTAAACGCTTGGCATGTGCTTGTCAAGTTTGCTGGAAATGCTTTTCTTCAATGTGGACACATTTTTATTTTTATATCTGGCATTTCGTTTTGAAGCTGCACGTGTTTCTCCTGATGGAAAGTTTTGGGTCATTGTGTAGTGTGTTTGCACCGTCAGCCTCCGTTACTCTTGGTTCTTTATAATGTTTTTCATACGACTCTTTGCTGTTCATCCTATCAGCATCTTTCAGGATAGCTTCTCACAGGATTGTAAAGTATTCAATACTCTGGACAGCATGCACAGAGCTATTTCTAATCCTGGCTCCGTGCTGGCTTTTTTATAAGATAGCTGATATTTAATTTGCAGCCTCGGTTCTGCAGTCGGGTATACTCTCTCAGGCAGATTACTACCCTGAGTCGTGTTTCAAAGGGGTCACGAGACATCTAATCCAGGCAGACACAGTTTAGAGGTCGGACTAACCCTCCGAGCTCGGGGACAAGGTGGAACAGAGTTTCCTCGCCATTCGGTGGCACGTATTCCGGGGAAGAAGGAGATAGCGACGCAGCTCGGCAGACACACCCGCTCAAACGTCTATAAATAGACTCCATCCATGGACTCATATGCCCACTTAGAATTCAGAGCTCGTCCCCCTCAAACCACACAACACCACCGGACACACAGTTGTTGATGGACTGGTCGATAGTTAGCACTTTTTCTGTATTCACTAGGATAATCTCCGTTTTTCATGTTTGTAATGCCATTCTCCCCAACGAGCACGCACCAAATCCTCATGAACAATGGCAAAGTATTGCAGTATTCTTCTTTTTTGCCACAATTTTACATATTTAAGAGAGAAAGTATGCTCTTTTTAGTTTCTTCTAATTTCTATATGTTTTTCTGGTTGAAGTTTCATACATTTTATCTTTTAAAAGCATTTTTAACATATTGTTTTTCTAAATTGTTTATCTCAATGTAATATACATCCTTTCCTGCCTTATCAGAACTGTTGTTTACTTTTGGCGGTTCGGAAAGTACAATATGTATCGTTTTTTAAAATTATTCCTTGTCGTCACGAGTTCAGTTGTTTTTCAATGTTAGAAAAACATTCTCCATGCCTTATACTACACTTTGTCTTTAACACATTTTAATGCTTTTCATATTTTAACCTCAATTTAGTTTCTAGATCACAATACAAAACCCTCAATACGTATTTACTTTGAATGTTTTTTATTTTCCCCATCCTTGCTTAGTTATCTATAAATATACCAACAACCTATTCCCTGAGTTTATGAATTGAGTAAAAAATTAGTTCAAATGCACTCTTTTAGGTTTATTTTTTTAAAAGCTATTATAATTTTACTGGACACTCGGCCCTTCCGTTGAGTTCTATATCAGAGAGAGAGTATTAAGCATTGATGAGTGCTGGCCTCCCCGCTGGCCGGCTCAGTGACACTTCCATGTTTAAAAATTGCTCAATAAGAATTCCTGACTTTAATAAAATTAAAGAAACATATGCCATGTAAATAAACCCCCACACAATCACTACGCAATGTTGGGATTAGATAAGTCTAGGCGTCTACATGCGTTACTAATAAATTACAATTCAAAACGTTCTGTTTAACACAGTCCAGGCCGTCACGCCCCCACCCAAGCTTGGCCAATATGATAATAGAAAAATATATCACATAGATGTTGTTCGTTACCGTACTACTTCAAATGGTTGCTTTTATAGTTAATATATGTAATTCAATGTCCTTGTACTCTTATTCTTTCTAGCTAATCCACGATGAAATTTGGGTCCCTTGTTTATAGATTTTCATTTATTTTCTTATGTTTTTCTCATTTTAAAGTCATATTATATT